CGGGAATCTTGTGAGTTCCCACACTTTTTTCCCCAGGACTTGACCCCTGGTGTCATTGTTGGATTACAATATGACAGACAACCAACTAGGGGAAATATTGCCCAAGGACAAGTGGAGGTCGAAGATTGGAAACTTAATTTCCTCTAACCATACATTATAAAGGAGGCTTAGATCCAGCTTCACATGTAACTGAGCCCATGTCATGTTAGTGAATATATATTTAAGGTTGATCAGTTAAGGCTATTATTATCTATTATCTCATTTACAATATAGTAACATATTACAACCTGGTTTAAAAATAGTTAAAATATATATTATATTGTGAAATTTAACCGATCTGCACAAATACAACTGTTTAAAAAAACCGTACCATTGAGTAAAAGTCTATGAAAATAACAGATAACAAAAGATGTTATATATAACATATTATCATGCTATACAATCTTAGGATAAAATATGGAGTTGTACATGGAATCATCTATTCAAATATTTTGGTGAACTAGACAGAAATATTAAAAAGTAACGGTATACTGATGTGTTCACTGGAAGTAGAGAAATGTTTGCTACCTTGTTGCGGAGGTCTTCAATTATTTTGTAGTAGTTACTGTAGTCATTGGATACACTGGGTTTCTGCTTCTCATACCATTCACGAATCTGAATCTCCAGCAGAGAATTAGCTTTCTCCAGCGATCGCACCTTGTCCAGGTATGAGGCCAGACGGTCATTCAGATTCTGCATGGTTTCCTTCTCACCTCCTGACAGAAGGCCATCTCCACCAGCTCCCCCTCCAAAGCCATATCCAGAACCATAAGCTCCACCAAAGCTAGACTCATAGCTGCCACCACCAAAGCCACCACTAAAGCCACCACAAAGGCCACTACCAATCCCAGATGAGACAACTCTTGCGGTGGAGATAGAAACATTTTTACCACCACTTCCCCCATGGATGCTAGGGGTCCGATAGCCACCTACAGATAGCCTACTTGAACCACCACCATAGCCACCTAAACCCAAGCCACCTTTGGTTCCTGAAGAAGAGGAAGTTTGTCTGATACTATAGGAGGACATGGTGTGCTGTAATTACAGAGCCTTAATCTGAATGCCACCGGAAGGATGGTATGTGTGAATGTGAGGAATCCAAGCCACTCTACCTAGATTTTATACTTTGGGAAGTGGGTGTGAGTTTGCATGAAAGACAGGTCCCTTCGTAGAGTCATCAGCTTTAATTTGCATGCCAACTTTTTGTGTAAGCATCAGTGTTTATAATCACATCATTGGTTTGGGAAGATAACCCAATAGTGTCTGAACAGCATCATCCCCCCCCCCCCTTCCTTCTTTTCTTTCCTGAAAACTTCTTACACAACGTGCTTTTTCTCATCCAAGAGGTGGTGTTGTGTGTCTGTGCTGAGTTGGTTTCTAAAACAAAATGTCTGATTCACATTGACTCAGGGAGGTTCCTGTCCTCTGGCTATGCATTTACATTCCTATACATTTAACCAGGTAAAAAAAGTATGTTTTTTTGAGACACTCCTCCCTATACTGGAAAATATATCCAGACTTTGGGTTGTCTCCGAGTTCAATCCCTATTAAAATGGTGTATCCATCATTTCCTATTTAACCCTTTACTGGGGGTTTGCATTAAACTGGCTTTATGTGCCTGTAAATATATCTCAAATAGGAGCAATGTAATGTAACAGCCGTACATAAAATATTAATGCTGCAGATGTGAAATAAATTCCAAACTTTTGCAAAAAACAGGTGTTTATACAAACAAATTGTGTCAATAGATAGTCATTTATAGAAGGCAGTGCATTAACTGGGTGGTAATATTCACAGAACCTGATACAGGTTGTACATTGTATACATATATTCACACTGGGGTTAGACTATGGGCAAAGTTAGAACATGTTGGACTTGCTTTGGTCAGAAGATGTAAGCAATTGTCCTGGAGTAAGGAAGCAGAAATATTTACTTGAGACGCTGCCGCTATAATCCAGATTGGGGATAGAACGCCTCTAACCAATGGCTTTTAGTTTACCTACCTGTGTTTTAAAATAATTATGTATACTCATTTGTATGTTTGTTTATAGGTGTGCATGAGTCTAATATCACCACCAACCTTCATAGTTCTAGGCATATTCTAGAATAAATGTATTAGTATCCACACTGATGTGTAGAGAGCCAATGTTTCCCAGTTGTCATTAGTTGAGTGTGGTTCATTATTGAACATTTTGTCATCTGACAAGAACCTTAAAACATGCCTGTAGCATGTGTCCACCAAATGCTTTTAAACATTTCCATTGTTTTATCTCTGCTGTCTCCTTACAAATGCCAAGAGCAACTCTTAAAATTGAATGTCTTATAGATGGAGGTGATGGATTGGATGGGTGGGTGGTTGGATGGATTAATGGGTGGATTAAAAATATCTAGAATAGAGTTATAGAACACAAGCCAATCACGATTTCTTACTGCATTAGCTAATCTATAACATCTTGCTTACACATACGAAATTAAGAAATTGTACTGCTTAACATTGTTTAAACCTCGCCCAACTGATAATAGCAGAAACGTTATTAGTGACACTGAAATATTTTTCTCCAATTACTCACATATTTGAGAATTACGCAAATAGCATCCTCCAGACAAAATTAGAACCTGAATTGTGTTTACCGATGCATATTTTGATTATACAAAATGGAGAAATAAAGTAAACAGAGTGCAGGTCAGGAGTCCGGATACAAGTCAAGGGCTCATGAGCTGCACCACTGTAACCACCTAATAGGGAGCTCCAATGATGGGGTAATCCTCCAAAATATGTAGGTAATAGGAGTAGGTGATGTGTAGAGTCCCACAAGGGGAAACCAACATCAGGAGAGCTCCACTGTATAAGAAATGAGGAAGGGAGGCCCTACCTTTAATCAATCTAAGGATAAAAAGGGATATGCAAACAAAAAGTATAACTTGAAAAAAAGGGAGATCTACTAAACGGTGCCTAGGGGATCACCGTCTGAAGTACTAGCTAGCATCTAAGTTCCAGTTCCCCTAGTGTCCGACTGATAGGAAGGTAGTGTAAAGGAGGTTAGGGAGAGAGAAGAGGCACAGGGTCCGTCGAGAGAACAAGGGACCTGGTAATCAGGTCTAAACGCAGATCAAAAGCCTCACACAAAAAATATATAATTAAATAAATCTCTCAATTCACCCTAAAAGTTACCTTGACACCGTGGTCTAACCACTAGTATCTACCTGAAACAACTCTCCCTACTAAAGTTATAAATAAATAAACACCTAAAAATCAATAACCATAGTGGTAACAAAAAGTGCTACCAAGTGCAGAGATTAAAGAAAAAGAAAACACTCAACGCACATTTCGGCGTGTTCAAAACTCCGTCGTCAGGAGCTCCCTTTTTTCAAAGTTATACTTTTAATAGGTCAATGTGAATTAGACATGTGGATTTGTTTTCGTACGAATACGATTTCGTCCGTAAACGAAAGCCCTACAAACTAAATGTAACGGATCACCTGGCACTCTGACTAGGTACCTCCGCCAAAGGACCACTTCCTAGCTGGAACAGGGGAAAAACCGCCACCTCCTTCCTGGATCAGAAGGGAAAATTAGCTCTGACACCTCCAGGCACTGGACAACACTTAGTCCTAGGAACTCTGGAACCGAATGGGGAATTAGCTCTAGTCCTTACAAGGACTTTCCCCGTTGAATCTCCTGCAAGCTGGAACAGCGGACACAGGAGAAAATCTTCTTTCTCTCCAATAACTGGACGACACACAGTTTTGGAGTGTAAGCAGGAATCTCAAGTTTAATGGGTCACACTGGCCTTTTATACAATTTTCCAAGCCAGAGGAACACCCCCTGGACCTGATGGGGCACAGGAACACAAAGGACATAAACCAATCAGAACAAACATACAGTCTGTGACACGCCCATGCAGTGGCGGCTCTAGACTTTATGAGGCCTTAGACGAAACTCAAACAAGAGGCCCCCCCCACTAACACTCATAGTAACAAAAACATATAGGGGTTGCATCGTGTGTATAATGAGCTGTTGTTATAATGTATGACAGGCTTGCAGCGCTGGATACAGAGAGCTAGTCTCTGTATTCACTGTTGGGGTGAGTGTGGCACGGTTGAAGGAGAAACTGTGACAGGGCGAGGGGAGGTGAGAGTGACAGGATGAGGGAGGGTTATGTGACAGGGTGAGTGTGGCGTGGCTTGGCAGGATGAGTGACAGGATAGAAGTTAATGTGATAGGGTGAAGAAGGATGAGTTTGACAGGGTTATGGGTTATGTGTTGCACGACTGGAGGAGGGAGTGTGACAAGGCAAGGGAAAGTGAGTCAGACAGGATTATGTGACAGGGTGAGTGTGGCATGGTTGGGCCCAAGTGAAAGGGTTAATGTGAAAAAGGATGAGTATGACAGGGTTGGGGGTGAGTGTGACAGTATGAGAGAAGATGAGTGTGATAAGATTAGGGGGATTAATGTGATACGGTGGAGAAGAGCGAGGGCGCCGGTAATTGTGGTATGGATGGAGAGGGTGAGAGCGACAAGATTAGGAGAGGTTAATGTGAGCAAGGCTGGGTAAAGGGGGCATGACAGCATGTGGGGGGTGACAGTGTGGGGGGTGCCTGTATGTGTGTGGAATTGTGACGGTGGGTAGGTGAGAGTGTGAGAGGCACTGTTGGAAAGGGTGACAGTGTGTGCAGGGGCAGAGTGTGGGAGGGGTGTATGTGTACCACTGTATGTATTGGTGACAGTGTTGGGGGCTGACAATATATGGTGCAAGTGTGTGAAAGGGTAACCGGGTGAGAGAGCAGTGTGGGGGAATGTGACAGTTTTGGGGGCAGGGTGTGAGTGGGTGACAGTGAGGAGGAAGATGACAGTGTGGGGTAGCAGTGTGGAGGATGGTGACAGTGTGGAGGATGGTGACAGTGTGGGGGGCAGTGTGTGACAGTGTGGGGGGACAGGGTGTGTTACAGTGTGGGAGGGCAAGGTGTGTGGGACACAGTGTAGTGAGGGCAGGGTGTGTGACAGCATGAGGGGACAAGGTGTGTTACACTGTAGGAGGGCAAGGTGTGTGGGACACAGTGTAGTGAGGGCAGGGTGTGTGACAGCATGAGGGGGCAGTGTGTATGACAGTGTAGGAGGGCAGGGTGTGTGACCGTGTGGGTGGCAGTGTGTGGGAGACAGTGTGGGGCGGTTTG